CTTATTCAGTATGCTATGCCAAATTTCGTGCAAATCGAAATATATATAGGGACTTTGGTGCCTATATAGGGTTCGTCGTTGGGCCAAATAAATTACTTGTGCCAAATTTTTTTTGTTTATTTTTTTGTTTACAATTTAACATCTACAGACGGACGGACATGCATAAATCGACTTAGAAAGTGATTCTATGCATATTCTCAAACGGAACCATGTGTCTATCTCGTATCCTTTTGCCTGTTACAAACATATGCACAAAAAAAAAATCCACGCCTAAAAATTTCTTTTAAAAATCCACGCCTAAAAATTTCTTTAAAAAATCCACGCCTAAAAATTTCTTTAAAAAATCCACGCCTAAAAATTTCTTTAAAAAATCCACGCCTAAAAATTTCTTTAAAAAATCCACGCCTAAAAATTTCTTTAAAAAATCCACGCCTAAAAATTTCTTTAAAAAATCCACGCCTAAAAATTTCTTTAAAAAATCCACGCCTAAAAATTTCTTTAAAAAATCCACGCCTAAAAATTTCTTTAAAAAATCCACGCCTAAAAATTTCTTTAAAAAATCCACGCCTAGAACTTTTCTTTAAAAAATCCACGCCTAAAAATTTCTTTAAAAAATCCACGCCTAAAAATTTCTTTAAAAAATCCTCGCCTAAAAATTTCTTTAGAAAATCCACGCCTAGAACTTTTCTTTAAAAAATCCACGCCTAGAAATTTTCTTTAAAAAATCCACACTTACAAATTTTCATTAAAAAATCCACGCCTACAAATTTGCTTTAAAAAAATCCACGCCTACAAATTGTCTTTAAAAAATCCACGCCTATAAATTTTCTTTAAAAAATCCACGCCTATAAAAATTTTCCTCAAAAAATCCACGCCTATAAAAATTTTCTTCAAAAAATCCACGCCTATAAAAATTTTCTTTAAAAAATCCACCCTTAAAAAAATTTCTTTAAAAAATCCACGCCTATAAAAAAGTTATTTAAAAAATCCACGCCTATAAATTTTCTTAAGAAAATCCACGCCTAGAAAATTTCTTTAAAAAATCCACGCCTACAAAATTTTCGTTAAAAAATCCACGCCTACAAATTTTCTTTAAAAAATCCACGCCTACAAAATTTTCGTTAAAAAATCCACGCCTACAAAATTTCTTTAAAAAATCCACGCCTACAAATTTTCTTTAAAAAATCCACGCCTAGAACTTTTCTTTAAAAAATCCACGCCTAGAACTTTTCTTTAAAAAATCCACGCCTAGAAATTTTCTTTAAAAAATCCACGCCTACAAATTTTCTTTAAAAAATCTACGTCTAGAAATTTTCTTTAAAAAATCCACGCCTACAAATTTTCTTTAAAAAATCTACGTCTACAAATTTTCTTTAAAAAATCTACGTCTACAAATTTTTTTTAAAAAATCCACGCCTACAAATTTTCTTTAAAAAAATCCACGCCTACGAATTTTCTTTAAAAAATCCACGCCTAGAAATTTTCTTTAAAAAATCCACGCCTACAAATTTTCTTTAAAAAATCTACGTCTACAAATTTTTTTTAAAAAATCCACGCCTACAAATTTTCTTTAAAAAAATCCACGCCTACGAATTTTCTTTAAAAAATCCACGCCTACGAATTTTCTTTAAAAAATCCACGCCTGCAAATTTTATTTAAAAAAACCACGCCTATAAAAATTTTCTTTAAAAAAACCACGCCTATGAAAATTTTCTTTAAAAAAACCACGCCTATGAAAATTTTCTTTAAAAAAACCACGCCTATGAAAATTTTCTTTAAAAAAACCACGCCTATGAAAATTTTCTTTAAAAAAACCACGCCTATGAAAATTTTCTTTAAAAAAACCACGCCTATGAAAATTTTCTTTAAAAAAACCACGCCTATGAAAATTTTCTTTAAAAAAACCACGCCTATAAAAATTTTCTTTAAAAAACCACGCCTATGAAAATTTTCTTTAAAAAAAACACGCCTACAAAATTTCTTTAAAAAATCCACGCCTAGAACTTTTCTTTAAAAAATCCACGCCTAGAAATTTTCTTTAAAAAATCCACGCCTAGAACTTTTCTTTAAAAAATCCACGCCTAGAAATTTTCTTTAAAAAATCCACGCCTACAAATTTTCTTTAAAAAATCTACGTCTACAAATTTTTTTTAAAAAATCCACGCCTACAAATTTTCTTTAAAAAAATCCACGCCTACGAATTTTCTTTAAAAAATCCACGCCTAGAAATTTTCTTTAAAAAATCCACGCCTACAAATTTTCTTTAAAAAATCTACGTCTACAAATTTTTTTTAAAAAATCCACGCCTACAAATTTTCTTTAAAAAAATCCACGCCTACGAATTTTCTTTAAAAAATCCACGCCTGCAAATTTTATTTAAAAAAACCACGCCTATAAAAATTTTCTTTAAAAAAACCACGCCTATGAAAATTTTCTTTAAAAAAACCACGCCTATGAAAATTTTCTTTAAAAAAACCACGCCTATAAAAATTTTCTTTAAAAAACCACGCCTATGAAAATTTTCTTTAAAAAACCACGCCTATGAAAATTTTCTTTAAAAAAACCACGCCTATAAAAATTTTCTTTAAAAAAACCACGCCTATGAAAATTTTCTTTAAAAAATCCACGCCTATGAAAATTTTCTTTAAAAAATCCACGCCTATGAAAATTTTCTTTAAAAAATTCACGCCTAGAAATTTTCTTTAAAAAATCCACGCCTAGAAATTTTCTTTAAAAAATCCAAGCCTACAAAATTTCTTTAAAAAAGTCCACGCCTACAAATGTTCTTTAAAAAGTTCTCGTCTACAAATGTTCTTTAAAAAATCCCCGCCTACAAATTTTTTTTAAATCCACGCCTTGTGTTGGTACTTAAAAATTTATTTAAAAAAACTTTTATATTGTTGTTATTTTTGCAATCTTCCGAAAAAAAAGTATCAGACTAAACATTGTTTTGTTTTTTGTTGTTGTTATTTTTTTCACGGCATGCCTATGAATTTGGCCAATGACCCCCCGAACATACCAAAACAAAACCAAAAAATAAGAATTATTGAAAAGGAAAAGTGTGTTTCTTTAAGGCCATAACATGTTGAGCAGACGTCGACAGAAGATGAAGAGGGTGAGAGGAGGCCAACCTATGTTAACGCAGTGTAAATTGTTACTAGACATTTGTAAAGATAAGTTTTAACATTGGACACATATGGTTTGATTGATGGAGGTGGCTGGCTCTCTCTCCTCATTTCTCTCGCCCGCTCCACCAAAATAAAACAACCCCCCTTTTTGGTGTTTAGATAAGGGGTATGTATCTCGAATTGTATTTTTTTCGAAAATAGTTGCGCAAATATAACCATGAAAAATCCAAAACAATACAAAAAATATATATGAAAATCCAAAAAACAAAAACTCAGACAGTAGAACAATTTTGTTTTCTTCAAATTTCATCGACACCCAACCAAAAATTGTTTAGGTGGGCAATTTTTTATTCATTTTTGTTTTTGTAGAATATTTTTTTTTGGTTTGTTGTACTGTTGTACTTGAGGGGCCATATTACACCCACCCAGAAATAAAAATTGCCTTTGTTAGCTAAATGCAGAATTGTGTGCTTAAATAAAACACTTATTTTAATTTTTTGTTTTAAAATATTTTTTTTTGTTTATTTATTTTTTCTCAGTAATTTTCTTTCTATTTTTTTGATTTTTTTTCAATTGTATATTTTAGTGCTATCTTTAAATCGGTGTCTTGTTGTTTTTTCAAATATTGTTGGAATATGTATAGGTTTCATTTGAATATTTATCAGATGTATATTTTTTTAATTCATGTTTTTTAATATAATTTTGGCTTTTTTTGCAACAATTATAAATTTATTTTTTCATTTGAACATTTTCAACATTATTATTATTATTTTTTTTTAAATTACCACACAAATGCAGATTTCCCAACTCCTTCGGTGTTATCTCTGACAGGTTGTTGACCTCCCTTTGCCATTGACGAGTGTGTATGTGGAAAAAAATTCTCAATTTTTTTTCTTTTAAAAAATAAATTTTAATACATTTTTTTTTTTAAATAAAATAATATTTTTTCCAAAAAAAAGAAATAAAATTTATTTTTTGAAAAAAAAAAATTATTATTTTTTTGGAAAAAATATTAAAATTTTATTTAAAAACAAAAAATATTAAAATTTATTTTTTTTTCAAAAAATAAATATTAATATTCATTTAAATATAATAAAATAAATTTTAATATATTTTTTTCAAAACATAAATTTTAATATTTATTTTAAATAATTTTTTAATATTTTTTCAAAAAATAAATTTTAATATTTTTTTTTTCAAAAAAATAAATTTTTATAATTTTTTTGCCTCTTCACTACCCATTTCCCCTTTTGTTTATAAAATAAAAAAATTTCCCCATTTTTTGAACTAAAAATAAAAGAACCAATAATTTTTGTGCTTTAAAATTTTTTCTCAATTTTTTTTTATATTTAAATATATATATTTTTTTAAATTAAAAAATACATGTTTTTTTTTCTTTTCTAAAATTTGTTGTTTGTTTTTTACAATTATTGTAAATATAGTTTGTGTTTTTTTATTTTTATATGTATATAAAAATTATTATGGCAGATTTAACTTAAATGCTATACAAAAAAATAATAATAATATAACATAATTTATGTTGTCAAAAAAAAATTAAAAATAATTAATAATGAAGGTTAGTAACAATTATTTTGGATTTTGTCGAAATTTTAACATTTGTTGTTGTTTTTTAGTAAATTTTTTGTTGCAGCTATTTACAATGTTTTTGTTGTTGTAGTTTTTCTCTAATTAATAAAATTTCGTTTTTTTGTTCTTGAATGTCCTTATGGAATAGTTTTTTGTTTGTATGTGTATGTATGTGAAGGAAAATAGAAACAAAAATACAATACAATCAGGACTTGTGTTAGCTAATTTCTAATCCAATGGAATTTCTTTTTTCTCATCATCTACTTCTCCTTTTCTTCTTCTTCGTTTCACCTCCTTATTCGTTCAACAAGCAAGTTCTAATCAGAGCATTGCACACAGCATAGGGATCACAATTGGAACTGGGACGACGATCTTCCAAATAGCCCTTGCCAGCATCGGCAACACCACGTGGCACACGAACACTGACACCACGATTGGCAACACCCCACGAGAACTTATCGATGCTGGAGGTTTCCAAGCGGCCGACCAAACGTCTCTCGTTGTCCTTGCCCTCTTTGGGATCGTAGGCCTTGATGTGGCGATCGTGACGTTTGCTCAATTTTTCAATGGCCTCTTCGATGGCTTTCATGCCACCATCGGCACGCATTGCCTTGGTGGAGAAGTTGGTGTGGGCGCCAGCGCCATTCCATTGTCCCTCCATGGGTTTGGGATCGAAGGTGACAACGACACCGAATTCTTCAGCAATACGTTGCAAAATGTAACGCGACACCCACAAATCATCGCTAGCCTTCATGCCTAGACTGGGTCCGACTTGGTATTCCCATTGGGCGGGCATAACTTCGGCATTGGTACCGGCAAAATCGATGCCAGCATACAAACAGGCCACGGCATGGGCTTCAACCAAATCGCGAGCATACACACGATCGGCACCTACACCACAGTAGTAGGGACCCTGGGGAGCGGGGAAGCCATTGACGGGCCAGCCGAAGGGACGGCCATCAACATCCAACAAAGTGTATTCCTGTTCAATGCCAAACCAGGGCTCCTGATCGCCAACCTTTTCAATGGCCTCTTGCAGGGCACCACGCTTGTTCGATTCGGTGGGCTTGCCATCGGCCTGGTAGGTGTCGCACATGACAATGATGTCGTTCTTGCCGGGCTTGAAGGGGTCCTTGTAGATGGCACGGGGCACCAGGGTGGTGTCGGAGTTTTCACCGCGGGCCTGATAGGTGGAGCTGCCATCGTACTGCCATTTGGGCAAGTCTTGGACGCCAGTGGGCACTTTGTCCAAGACGCGATCCTTCAAACGGATATTCTCACCAGTACCATCGATCCACAAGTAAGTGGCCTGGACGCGATTGCTGGGAGTTTCCAAATTGCGGTAACGGGCCAAAATCGATTTGTCCAACGAGGTATTGGGTGAATTCTTTAGAAAATTCGCCTTCATGGTACCGCTGGTGCTCAAGGCACGCATCTGTTGGGACAAGTTGGAGCTTACCTCCTTGCTCAGGAAAAGACCAGCACAACGTAGAGCCATTTTTTTTATTTTTCACTTTTTTTGTTACTTTCGAATACGAAAAAATAGATTTAAGGTCAAGGACGTCAAGGATGCGCTTTTCGCTTGGCTATTTGAAACAAGGAAAAATTTTGTACTTTGTTGTAGTTGTTGAGAAGAAAAGGTACTCGGTTTTAGTTTTTTGTTGTGGTTGTTGAAATTTTTCTGTTCTTTAAAACATTTCACTTTAGTTGTTGTTTAGTGTTTCTTTTTTATTTTGAATTCAATACACTTGGTATTTTTTATTTAAAATATTTTTTGGTTTTTAAAAAAACTCAATTTTATTTTAACGCGACGTTAGCACGAGAACTGGACACCCATCCTCTACGAAGTTAGGATAGCTTGTGAACACTTTCAGCTGTGTAACATTCACTTTTTCTCATTTTTTGAGGGGCTGCGCTGGCCAGTCGTTATCGCAAAACCAGCCACAGCAACAGCGGCAGACAATAACAACAACAGAGACACCAATACTACCACACACGCACACCAGTGCACGGCAACAGAGCTCTGTAGCTGTTGTCTGGGCACAGTGGAGGAATTAGCCAATGAAGTCAATAAATGTTAATAACCGTTTTAAAATGTTAATGACTTTTCTTTGTTATTGTGTTTGTGTGTGTGTGCGTAACATGATAATTGAAAGAAGTAATTTAGATATCGGAAACAAAATTATAGATATTATATTTTATTTGGTCATGAAGTAATAGGGGGAAATAAATTTTATAATGTGGTAAATATCGATTCCATTATTATGTCATATTATTGATTTTTAATCGATTGATTTGTTTTGACAATCTTCAGAAGTTTATTGCATTGAAATCACTTACCAGTAAAATTAATTTCCTTTATGGATCGGACTTTGAAAGAAATCACATGTCGAACTTTAACTAGTTTTAACTAATTTGACCATTTGAAAACAAAAATAAGAGAAATAGAATATTTGTTTTGAAAAGTGGATTCAGCAATAGTCGAACGGAGCCGACCATACGATACTTTACACAACTACCACGGAATTCTAACATTCTACGTTTGTTTATTTCGAACCTGGTCAATATTTTACACGTCTTCCTTATACATCACGTCTTCCTTACACTGATATATTTTCCGAATATTACTTATATTCAGTATCGCCCTTCTAATTACATGTCCACATTCCCTTCACCGTGCGTAGTCTTGTGATGTTCGGCTTATAATTGTGGCCTATAGCCTATAAAAAAAAACACAAAAACTGAGTTTTCGGTCCACTTCATCCCAAAATTATTATCTGATCATCACCGAAACTTATAGGCGTTGTCATTGACCATAACTGGAACCTTTCAAACCGATGAGCGCCATATTTCCGCCTTCTAGTGTGGTAATGGGTTACTAAATGATATCTGAATACGTGAGCACCTGTGAATACTCCAATATAATTGGTATCAATTTAAAGGTCAACCACTCCTATTGGATATACTATCAACTTATCGGGTCTATGTCCTTCATGGGTAAATATGTATGTTATAGAAAAGTCTGGGTCCATTTGAACCGCTAAATATTGACCAATCATTATCAAAAACACACATGCTTATACTTTGGTCCGATCCCCTTCGCCATATAAATTCCGACAAAACCCCGATAAAAATTAAGTATTTGGTCCATTTCATCTCCTAAATATTATCCGAACTTTACCAACAACAATAGGGGTCTTCATTGTCCAGAACCTATTCTATATGCAAAATTTCGTGAAGATTAGTCCATAACTGTGGCTTGTATCGTGTTTACAAATTATAATGGACAGGCGGACGGACGGACCCACATGTCTAGATGGACTCAGCTATGACGATAGGGTCCAGGACAAATATTTTGCGGCGTTAAAAACTCTTGGGGTGCACAAACATCGAGCTACAAAACAAAGCTCAATGTTTGGGTGCCACACCAATTATCAGAAAAAAATAGGATGGACCGAATTTCCATTTGTGAAGTCTAGGCCAAGCTCAATGAGATTTACCCATTTCGTAAACGGATGGTGATTGGAGATGAGAAATGGATCATATACGATAACCCTGTGCGAAAACGATCGTGGTCAAAGAGCGTTGAAATACCTCACACGGTGGTCAAACCAGGACTAACGGCCAGGAAGGTACTGCTATACATTTGGTGGGACTGAAAGGAAATTATTTATTGAGTTGCTTCCATATGACCAAAATCTAAATTCCGATCTCTACTGTCAACAACTGGACCGTTTGAAGATAGCAATTGACCAGAAACGGCCAGAATTGGCCAACAGGAGAGGTGTCGTGTTTCATCAGGCAAAGCTAGGCCACACACATCTACAGTTACTCGCCAGAAACTTCGGGAGCTTGGTTAGGAAGTTTCAATGCATCCGCCATAGAGTCCGGACTTGGCACCAAGCGATTATCATATTTTTCTTGCGGTGCAAAATTTCTTTAATGACAAAGAAATTGGTAGCCAGGAGGAGGATTGTGAAAATCGACTACTAGAGTTTTTTGCAAATAGAGAGTAGGTGTTATATGAGAGAGGCATTATGAAGTTACCTTTAAAATGGCAACAAATCATACAACACAACGGTGCATATTTGACCCAAATCGGACATTCCGAAGCATGTTGAATAAAGTTCTATAGTTTATATAAAAATAATGGATTTAGTTTCCCCCAACCCCCAACCTCAATCCTACAGTCCAACAGCAATTTTTATTCTAATATTTAGGATTCTAGTTCTATCCAATATTGTACCAAATTTAGTACACATATGAACGAATTTTCAATATTCAAAATTTTAGGTTTAGTATCACTTACTACTCATAAGTACGAATTTTCTTAATTACATAAATCATACAATCTAACAGTCATTTTAATTCCCAACTTCAAGATTCCCACTCTATCTGTTAATCTATATCCAAAATGTTCCAAATTTAGTACTTTTCGTACCCATAAGAACGAATTTCCAAAACTACCTCAATTATGCACTCCATCTGTAATGTTTATATGAAAATTCAGGAATCCAGCCCTATCTGTTCACACAAAATCAAATTGTACCAAATTATTTTCAATCTAAATTGTACCATATTTAGTGTCATTTTGTAATTTTCGTACAAATAAAAATGTATTTTCTAAATTCCCTCAATTTCTAGCAGTAATCCTAATTGAAATTGTACCAATTTTAGTACTATTTGGTACAAATACATTCCAAAAGAAATTTTAATCCCAAATGTCCGGATTCCAGCCCTATCCGTTCACACAAAATCAAATTGTAAATTATTTGGTACCATTTAGTACTTTTTGTGCCCATAAGTTCGAATTTCCTAAACTACTTCAATCCTACACTCCAACTGTTTAATTCCAAATTTGAAGACTCCAGCTCTATCTGATCATCTAAAGCCTACTTGCAACAAATTTAGTACCATTTAGTACTTTTTGTACACATAAGTACGATTTGTAATTGCTACCTCAATCCTGTACTCCAAAAGTAGTTCTAATTTCTATTTTAAGGATTCCATCTCTATGCGCTCCACTAAATGCATATAGTACCAAATTTTGTACCATTTTGTACTTTTTATACACATAAGTACGAATTTCTTAAACCATTTCCATACATCAACACCAATTCCCAACATGTATTCCATATCAAATTTCCAGATTCTAGCTATATTTATTCAATATATAGATCATCGCCCATACGAAGCTGAAGCTTGAAATTTTAGGTGTGGGTTGTTGTTGATGTGTAGTCGAGAGATAAAGCTGGGTTTTGGGAAATTCAAAGTAGAAGGGTACGAAAGGTACTAAAATGTACTAAAAATCGTACCCTTTGCAATAGGTTAACGGGAAGAGTTAGAATTCTGAAATTTGGATTGAGGGTAAATGATGGAAAGTCGACCTACAAGTGTACGAAAAGTACTAAAATTAACTATATTTAGTTCTAATTGAATATACAGGGTAAGATGAAAAAACTGCAACCAACTTCAGACTGCTGTCATTTCTAAGCCGAAAGCTGTTAATTTTTTTCGAGTGACAGCTCATTATATTGTTTACAAGCGTACAAAAGCATTTGGTAAGAATTTTCCAGAAAAAAAGTTATTCGTGATGGAACAGAAGGAAAATAGACTGAAAAGTGCTAAAGAGCATGGCCGAAAGTGGTGAACTGCCGAATTTGGTTTTCTTCGATGAGAAAACATTCGTTGTCCAGTAGTTTGTAAGCAAACAAAATGTTCGTGTTAACTTGCCAAAGAGATCAGCTGAAAATGTGAACCTTCGGTTGGCCACCAAAACTCAAGCGCCGGCCATGGTGATGGTGTAGGCCGCCATAACAGCCGATGGTAGCTCTTTGCTCGTATTAATCGAAATCATCAGAATAAATGCTAAAAATTATCGCGAAAATATTCTGGAGGGTATATCAAAGCCTTGGGCATGCAGACATTTTGGCCGCAGACCTAGGACATTCCAACAGGATCATTCTGAGTGCGATGGTGGACGCGCCACCCAAGAATATTTACAAAATGAGGTTCCTCGCTTCATTTCCACACAATGGTCACCAACATCTCGTGATACCAATCCGTTGGACTATTGTGTCTGGAGTATTTTGGAAAACAAGGTTGGCACTAAAAAATACCAAAAATACCCGGCACTTCGCCGGGAATGGGCCAAAATACTCAGAGCAACAATCGGGCAGCGTGTGATGGTTTCATTGGCCGTTTGAAGGCCATAATTCGCGCCAAAGGTGACCAATTCGAAAAAATCTAAACTTATTCTAAAATTTACGCTATTTCCGACATTTTTGCTTTCATTCAATAAAAATTATGACTTTGTTGTAGTTGTTTTTATCTCACCCAGTCACTCACTTGCTTAACATTAAGGTCTTTTATATATTAAGATAAATTTAGAAGTTTTAACGTTTTTACCCAGACCTATATTCCTTTCAATTTTTTTTGGATGTGAATCATCAAATTTTAATTTTTATTACATTCCATTAAATATTTATTTTTTCAAAACATTCCCCCCACTGTTCCATACAGCAGTATA